TTAACAATAAATAATAAGTACCGATTTTGGCACCGTAGCTTTTGGCACCGAATTTGTACCATTTTTTGACTAGAATCGAATCCGAAATTGGAAGACCCGGGCGGGCCGATATTTCGCATGATTGGAGGCGCGGAAACGGGCCGGACGGAACCGGAAGTGCGTCGGTATAATTTGCCCAAAAGGGGACTTCGACCAAACTCAATCGATACCATTAAACCTTGTGCACGCACATTTTCGTCGCATCGTGCTTAGACTGCCGTTTTACCACCAATTGCTTCGCGGTTTCTCTCGATTGCGTCTGATAGAATATTATTATATAGGTTCTTCTGCTTCTTCTTCTTCATCGGAGACGATAGAAACGCGACGAAAACGGGCGCCGAAAATTAACGATAATCTGCGCTTGTGTGTTATACTCGGTAACTAACCGCACGTAAAACGTCTGAAATATGAAACTCAACTTCGCCATTTTCATTTTTGTTCATCTTGTTCACCGCCACGCGTCGGTCGTCGGTCGCCCCAGCCGTCGAACGTCCATTTCTCTCGTTTCGCGAACGAAAAGCTCCGTCAATGATTAACGAACAAGTTCCGCGATAACTAATCTCAATGATTTTCATCGATAAAAATGAATTCAAACGTTCGATGCTAATAAAAAGAAGTTCCTCAATGCATTTTAAAAATACCCGAAAACTTACAGGATCCTTGCACAAGGATTTCATCATTTTCATCCTGATTGATACAACTCAATTTCATTTAAATATCGATAACAAATTCATGCGTTCTTTCTACTCGTCAAAGAGGAACTCAGTTAGTCGAAACAATTTTCTAACGTCGAAAATATATGTATCTTAAGAATCTTTTCAGAGAATCATTTTGATCATTTTTATCGTAACTCATCGTAATTAAATTATCGTAATTAAATCGTATTCGTCATAGAGGAACTTGTGCAACGAAGACAGATGATTAACGCGTCTTTCGACGACGAGATATTTGAGGAATTCGTTCGAAACAATTTTCGCCGCCTTCACAATGGCTCGTTCGTGTCCCGGCGATGGCTGCAATTAGCCAGGGGGTTGGAATCAAGGGCGGAGGGGCGAACCGGAAGCGACCGGCGCGGGCGTGAAACCCACAACTTAGACATCGCGAACGAATTGGAAACAATGCGTATACGTGAAATTCTGGGGGAGTTTGGGCTCTGTGGGGATTTCACCCGTGGGATGGGGATTCTGTGGATGGGTTGATCTGTAGGGACGGGTGGCGGGGTAGTTTTGTATTTGTGTTGAAAGCAACGTCATAAGTGAAGTAACTGAACGCTGCACTCGAAAGACTAATGAAAAACCGGGGAAACTTGAACGATCGTCGCCTCGCCCCCTCAAAAAATCGTGCGACCCTCGGACAATCGTGTGAAACGATCGCCCGGAGGGTTCGTCGTTCTCGAGACAGAACTCGGGGTATCCTCTCCTCCTCAATTTTTTTCCGCAGGGTTCGCCGATGGGTCTGGCGCGGTTACGCGAAATGGCGTCGCGACGCTCGTTCAAGCACCCTCCGATCCGCGTCCGAGTCCCACAGTCCTTTGTTTCGCTTCCGTAGTGAGTGCCTCCGCGATTTATCGAATAAAAGGCGACGCTTTGTGGCAGCGGTCGCACCTGTCCTTACATAGAGTTGTGTCGAGTACGTTTAATTAATAATTATGCGTGTATGCGTGGTTACGGTTAACTGTTAATTAACTTGACTTGACAAACGGTTACGGTACTGTAATTAATTAATTATTATCTGTTAGTTTAAATATGCGACTGACTGACTCTCCCGTCTCCCTCGGCTTCTCTACTCTCTCCTCCTCAACGCTCTCTCGACACCTACTCTCTCTCTCTCTCTATCCTGCCTCTCCCCTGCTTCACCTATTCAGAGTATACGACGTACACACGTTGCCTAAACTACGGACACTTAGTACACTTATTAGCATATTTATTCTGTTAAATATGGGACGGGGGAAGGGGGAGAACGGCGGTCCCGGAAAAAACTTTAGTTTCTTAAAAATTTTGACGTTCTTTTTGATATTTGTTTCTTTTTTTTCTGGCTCGGACCGCTCGTTCCTCGGTCCAGATCGTTCTTGCACCGAACAATTTTTCGAAATCAGGGGTTTCCTTGATTGTTGGGTGGGGGGAGGGGGGTGGTTGGAGGAAGTTGTACGAAATGAATCCGTTACTTCCGGTCGTTCCGCGACGCGTGCGCGCGACCGGCCTGACTGTAAACACTGAAAAAGACCACGTGCTTCCTGTATACTTACTTAGTTAACTGTTTACTGCGGTACACTTGTAATTACTGCTCTACCATAGTACTACTAGTTGTGAGTTATACTTGAGAACGATTGTTTAACTGTAACGGAAAACCCTGACGAAGGCACCCACTCAACGGACTCCTCGATGTCTCTGATCGATCTTCGTCACTGTTTCTTTTATTTTTTCAGCTGTGCCAATGAAATTTCGTACCTATCCAGTTTGTCAACTAATTTCCAGTACGCTCTATCCGCTCGCTCGTTCCCTCTCCTTATCCCTCTCCGTCTCTTTAAAAGATCCGTTCGCGATTGTTAGTTCGACGATCTGACGGTGTTGTACTCTCTTTTTAGTTTCACGAGTTTAGCCACGATTTACCAATTTCTAGAATTGTTGGACTCGGTCTTTCACCTCGGACACGCATACGGGGGGTTGGTCACAGGGGACAGGGTAACGAAAACACATTTTCGTAAACAAAAATTTGGAGAATATTTTGAAAAGAGTATCCGGCTGCCCGCGGAACCCCGAGGACTATCAAGAATCCCGGGTTCCGGCGGGCAGCCAATCGCGGTGGGTTCGCTGGTTCGTCGCCGACGATCTCTACCGATTCACATGATCTTCGAATTCGATCTCTGATTCACGGCACGTTACTACTCGGCTCGAGTTTCTACTAGTCGCGTTCAAATCTTCGCGGCCTTCAAATTTTGTCCCGTCTCTAACACGATTCGCCAAACGGTGCCAGACATTCGCAATAATTTCCATGGAATTTCGAAAGGACGACTTTTTTCAATACACCTGTTAGAGATCCGAGGCCGAAATCGACGTGATTTTATTCGTTCGAAAAGTGTACGTGTTTTTTTTTTCTTTTTTTGGCCAGCTCGCGGAACAGAACGCAATGGTCGTTCTTCAAACTCCGGGGATGATTTCGCAGCCTCCATCTCGTTGTGAACAACGCCCAGAGGATTTCGTGCGGTTTTCCGGATGCTGCGAGCCAGACGATCGGCGAGACGCGTCATCGATCTCGTCGATTTCTGGACCGAGCGGAAAATCGCGTCCTCGAGCGTCTCGGTGACGGCGAACGCGAACCCACCGCTTCGCCAGCTATGCCTCTTCATTATATAGTGGACATTGAAACAACTTATTCCGGTTTTTAATCACGGAGGCTCGGTCGAGGACACCGCGTGAAAACGCGAATGCCGCCGAGGCGCTCGCACTGCTAGACTGTCGGTTTTATCATATGCTGCGCACTTACGATACACACTGCCACGAATATCCACATACGTGTCTCGTCTTTTTTGCTGCTAATTTTTCGCACCCTCTCTCTCTCTCTCTCTCTCTCCCTTCACTCTCACCATCTCCTCCTCTCTCTTTCCTTCTCTCTCTCTCTACTGTTTTTGATGTTTCGCTGATCGACGTGCTTGAACGTCGCTACTATTGCTGCGTTACATGCCTCGTTCAACAGATATTTTTGTGCTTTCTCTTTCTTTCTCTTCCTCTCTCTCTTTCTCTCTGCGTCTATGTCTCTCTTCTCTCTTTCTCTCTTTCTCTCTCGCCAGACTGCAACGTCTCGGGGATCGATAAGAGCGCGCGACCGTACGTGGTATATTCGTCGTGAGATTATTTCATCAAAAAATTAAAACCCGATCGAAAACAAATCAACGGTTTTTGCTTATAAAGCCGCGAATTCGGAACAACGGCTCTCCTCCTAACGCCGTTGTATGCCTAATCTGCTTAGGATGATGTTCGGTTCGTTATTACACTTTGGGGTCGGTCTATCGTTGTCGCTGAACGATCAACAGGCTATCCTCCCGAGATCTGGCTCTTCTCTCTCGGCGAGGATCGAAGCCTGTGTCCAGCGTGTCATTTTGTCGACGTTGCATCGACGAGATTTCCTTGCGAAACTACTCGCCGATTAGTCGCGTCACTTCCGGGTTTCTTGGCTAGTCAAGTCCGGGATGCGATGTCGGCGATCGCCGAAACGATCGCCGTTCAGTCGTAATCGGTTCTGCATCCAAACGTATGCCAAAGGCCGCGAATTCCGACGCGGAACGTTCCTACCGCGTTCCGTTCGCGCCTCTTCGCAACGAATCGTTTCTGCTATTAATTTTGACTGTTTTTTTTACTCTCCCAATTCTAAACGAAAATCTGTCGAAAGGACCCGCCGAAACGATTCCCGATAAGCGCGAACGAACCGACCCGGTCGGGAACGTTCCGCTCTCCTTGATTCACGATCGTCAACGTGTATTTTCACTCTGCTGACAAAAGGTACCGTGTCTCTATGCGATATATTTTGCTCGAAAAATGTTTCCCATGAATATTATTGGCCGAATCGTATCGTTCTGAATGATCAATTTGTTCTATCATCCGCCTCTCTCTCTCTCTCTCATCCTCTCTCTCTATCTCTTTCCCTCCTATTTCATCTCCGTACAAGTTCAAAGTTTAGATTTGTTCACCGAAAGAATTTCGTTCGATATCTCTTTCTCTCGTATTTTTCCGCTTTTTTTTCGTTTTTGATTCGCTCTAAATCGACAATTTACAAAATCAATTGGCTTTACATATCCGTAGCGTGTGTAGTTAAAGTGTAGAGAAGTGTGTAGAAGTGTAGCAAGTCTGTAAACCCTCTCTTGTCCGCTCGTGTCGCTGTGTAGATGTGAAGTGTAGAATCGACGCGTGTCAACGCGTCGTGTATTGNCGAAATCGACGTGATTTTATTCGTTCGAAAAGTGTACGTGTTTTTTTTTTCTTTTTTTGGCCAGCTCGCGGAACAGAACGCAATGGTCGTTCTTCAAACTCCGGGGATGATTTCGCAGCCTCCATCTCGTTGTGAACAACGCCCAGAGGATTTCGTGCGGTTTTCCGGATGCTGCGAGCCAGACGATCGGCGAGACGCGTCATCGATCTCGTCGATTTCTGGACCGAGCGGAAAATCGCGTCCTCGAGCGTCTCGGTGACGGCGAACGCGAACCCACCGCTTCGCCAGCTATGCCTCTTCATTATATAGTGGACATTGAAACAACTTATTCCGGTTTTTAATCACGGAGGCTCGGTCGAGGACACCGCGTGAAAACGCGAATGCCGCCGAGGCGCTCGCACTGCTAGACTGTCGGTTTTATCATATGCTGCGCACTTACGATACACACTGCCACGAATATCCACATACGTGTCTCGTCTTTTTTGCTGCTAATTTTTCGCACCCTCTCTCTCTCTCTCTCTCTCTCCCTTCACTCTCACCATCTCCTCCTCTCTCTTTCCTTCTCTCTCTCTCTACTGTTTTTGATGTTTCGCTGATCGACGTGCTTGAACGTCGCTACTATTGCTGCGTTACATGCCTCGTTCAACAGATATTTTTGTGCTTTCTCTTTCTTTCTCTTCCTCTCTCTCTTTCTCTCTGCGTCTATGTCTCTCTTCTCTCTTTCTCTCTTTCTCTCTCGCCAGACTGCAACGTCTCGGGGATCGATAAGAGCGCGCGACCGTACGTGGTATATTCGTCGTGAGATTATTTCATCAAAAAATTAAAACCCGATCGAAAACAAATCAACGGTTTTTGCTTATAAAGCCGCGAATTCGGAACAACGGCTCTCCTCCTAACGCCGTTGTATGCCTAATCTGCTTAGGATGATGTTCGGTTCGTTATTACACTTTGGGGTCGGTCTATCGTTGTCGCTGAACGATCAACAGGCTATCCTCCCGAGATCTGGCTCTTCTCTCTCGGCGAGGATCGAAGCCTGTGTCCAGCGTGTCATTTTGTCGACGTTGCATCGACGAGATTTCCTTGCGAAACTACTCGCCGATTAGTCGCGTCACTTCCGGGTTTCTTGGCTAGTCAAGTCCGGGATGCGATGTCGGCGATCGCCGAAACGATCGCCGTTCAGTCGTAATCGGTTCTGCATCCAAACGTATGCCAAAGGCCGCGAATTCCGACGCGGAACGTTCCTACCGCGTTCCGTTCGCGCCTCTTCGCAACGAATCGTTTCTGCTATTAATTTTGACTGTTTTTTTTACTCTCCCAATTCTAAACGAAAATCTGTCGAAAGGACCCGCCGAAACGATTCCCGATAAGCGCGAACGAACCGACCCGGTCGGGAACGTTCCGCTCTCCTTGATTCACGATCGTCAACGTGTATTTTCACTCTGCTGACAAAAGGTACCGTGTCTCTATGCGATATATTTTGCTCGAAAAATGTTTCCCATGAATATTATTGGCCGAATCGTATCGTTCTGAATGATCAATTTGTTCTATCATCCGCCTCTCTCTCTCTCTCTCATCCTCTCTCTCTATCTCTTTCCCTCCTATTTCATCTCCGTACAAGTTCAAAGTTTAGATTTGTTCACCGAAAGAATTTCGTTCGATATCTCTTTCTCTCGTATTTTTCCGCTTTTTTTTCGTTTTTGATTCGCTCTAAATCGACAATTTACAAAATCAATTGGCTTTACATATCCGTAGCGTGTGTAGTTAAAGTGTAGAGAAGTGTGTAGAAGTGTAGCAAGTCTGTAAACCCTCTCTTGTCCGCTCGTGTCGCTGTGTAGATGTGAAGTGTAGAATCGACGCGTGTCAACGCGTCGTGTATTGAGAAGTGTGCGAGCGCGCGGGGTTGCACGCTCTAAGAACCAGGGCAACTTTCTATTGTGAGTAAGGTCGGCCGGGACCTCGCGGAGGGACACCCCATAGCGGCGCGTCCCCGTCGTCTTGCTTCTCGCGACGGTAGTAAAAAAACCCGCTTCACCGCGCCGCTTTCCGGGCCCTGTCCCCGCCTCGGTCCCGGCACTTGTCTTCTTCTTCTTCCATCATCATCCTCCTCCTCCATCTCCTCTCGCTGTCTCTCTTCTTCGTGTCTGTGCTTTGTCTGTGATTCTGTGCACTGTTGTGAACTGTTCGCTCCTTGGCGAGAATACCAATTCCACCGCGCGGCGGCCGCAGTCGCTACGGCGCGCGCGCGCGGATTTAAACTTTTGCATCGTTAAATTCGTGAGGTCGAGTCGTATTTGTGAGTGTGTATGCGCTGGGAGTATACACCAGCGCATCCGGGCTATGGCATTTTTTTTAGATTATTTAAACATTTAGCAAATTTACATGAAAGAGATTAAGATTATGGGTAGTAGTAAGGGCTGGTTTTGCAGGACGCGTGCTCCCGTTCTGCCGGTCGATTCTCCACCGTTACGGCTCGCTCTTCGTTATCAGCTCGCCTGTCCGCCATATATTTATATGCTTGGCCTGTCGTCGTCGCCGAGGTATCACCTTTCTTCTTCCACCGAAGAGGAACTCCGCGTCCGGCTCTCGGCCGCTCGCCGCCTCACTCTTCCTCCCCTCGATCTCGCGACAGAAGCGAATCCGCTTGATCGTCCGTCGTTCGCGAAACATTTAGCCTCTTCGCACACTCCGCCTCTGTATCGTCGCGAGTGTGCCGAGCAACCGAGAGAGTCGAGATCCGACGACGAGCGTCGTTCTGTTCTTCCGCGCGTTTCTTCTTTCCGCCAGGCCGGACTCCGTCGAATCTTCTTCTTCTTCGTCGTCTTCTTCTTCTTCTTTTTCTTCCTTCGTCGGGATGGTTCTTCCTTCGTATCGTCTCCCGACTACGGGGATCCTGATCTTGGTTCCTCTGCGATCCCATCGGTCTTCGTCGACAGTGGCTTCCGGTTGTTCCGTAAACAGCGCCAGGTGCGTGGAAAATCCGGCGAAGGTAGACGCGCTGCGCCACCGGCCCGCTTACGAGTTACGGGCATATGTAAATCAATATATTTGTAAATTATTTTTTTGTGCTTTTTCATCGCGGCGCGCGTTTGCATCGCGCCGCGATTGTTTTTTTTTCTTTATTTTATTTCGTTAGCTTTATCTCGTTAGTTTACGTTACTTCATCATCGTAATTACTGTTTACTTGTTACGTTTATTTATTTACCTCGTTTACCTTCGCGCTTATCATTCTTCGATTACAGAACATACACTACTAGAGCTATTGTTTAATTGTTTGCTTGTGTGTTTGGTTTAAAAACATCGTTATTCATCGTTATTTTTTTTTTGTTGATTTTTTAATAAAATATGGTACACGTTCGCGGGGCACGGGCCGGCGCCTCGGGAATCATTCCTCCTTCTCGCGCGGGGGTGTGACGTGTGCGGGGGGTTTGGGGAGAAGTTGTTGTGTCGGCTGCTGCCCCGTAAGTTTCTTTTGTCTTCGAATGGCCGCGAATTCTCTTCTTCACCGAGTTTTCTTCTTCTTTTTCTTTTTTTCTCTTCCACCGATTTCTCGAATCGACATTTTTTTTTTCTCATCGCTGTGCTCGCTCGAAAGAAACGAAACCTTCGTTAGCTCTCCGTTCTTCCGGTTATCGCTTTTATTCTTCTTTTCTTTTCCATTTTTTTTTCTTTTTTTTACTCATCTGCGCTGAATCAACAAAAGCAACCCTCGGCGCACGGTAGGATGCACCTTGTGAAAAGCTGTCGTCTCGGAATCGTTTCATGACCGTCGTGTGTGTATTGTGTGTGTTTGCTGAATCGTCTCTTCTCCGTCGCGACGCGACTTATCACCGTGTCATGAAGGATCTCGACGTTATTGTTGTTGTTGTAGTTGTTGTTGTTGTTGTGCGGGCGTCTGTAGTGTTTCTGATTGTATTTTTTTTGTTTAATATGCTGTTGAATAAGAATTTTTCTTCCCTCCTGTGTATATCATCTCTTTCTCACTGTCTCACACTCTCTCTCTCTCTCTTTCTCTCTCTCCCTTTCTTTCTCACTCTTTCTCTCGTTCTTCTCTCACACTGTGAATTTGGATTTCGATGTTCGTTTCTCTGTTCTGCTGATAAACGGCGATAGCGACGGTGAAAAGTGGGTGGTTTTGTTTTCCAGAATACGCTCTTCCTTTTTGCCTTCTTCTCTTCGTATAATTTCCTCCGCTCCTGTATTCGTGCACCATTTTTTTTGCCGTTTCTCCCGATGATTACGTTTTCTTCGCCTGCTCGTTTTGTCGAGGGACCGTGGACTGTCAATTTTGCCTCTCGCCGATCAGTTAAGTTTGCGATTTTGAAAAAATTGCTGCGACCTGCCGTCGAAACTGCTCGATGCTGGACCTAAGCGAATCGTACACGGTTACATCTCTCTCTCTCTCTCTTTTTCTCTGTCTATCTTCCTCTGATCATTCGTCATCGAATCGTTCCAGATGGTAACCTTTCTCTCGAGTAACGAGTCCGACCGCAAAGCATCCTATTCTACTAGCAGTTTCCCGAGCAGCGTCGCAGCGTTTTCGAAACAAACGAATCCCGAAACAAGCAAATCCGCTGTCGCGTTTTTTTTTCTATACGAACACACCTCCGGAAACGTGGCCGAATATCACTCGTGTGTGTGTGTATATAATGGTTTCGCTCGATCGCTCGTGTGGAATGATGTATGCGCGTGGTACCCGAAAAGACGTAAAAGTATCCTCCTCGAAAAAAGAATGTTCGCCGAACGCGTGTGTTTCTTGTTTTCCCATTTTTTCCAGTTTTCCATTTTTTTTGCTCCTCGATCGCTGGTTTTGTTTTCCTGTCGTCGTCTTTCTCTTTTTGTTTTTGGTCCCTGTCCTAATTTGGAGGCTAGTCTCGGTGCCGGTTTGGTGCGAGTGTGTGAAGAATTGTGTTCATCATTTTTTTTTCCTTTTGTCCTTTAGGCTTAATACATATCTATCCTATCGTAGCTGTACAATCCATCGCAATGCTTGTTGTGTACGTGAGCGTGTGTCCCTTGTGTGTGAATCTGTGTATGAGTGTGTATCAGTGTCGAGAAAAAAAAACTTCCCGATCAGCGACGCCCATTTCTTGGGGAACGCACTTATGCTAGCTGCTCGCACGATTCTTGCGGGATCGGGCGATCAGGCGGATCGTGTTTTAGCTTTCGCATAAGGGCGACCGCCAACGACCAGGCGTACACCGACGACGAACAGAAGCACTGGTTCGATAAAAACGATTATCGTTGGTTGCGTGAACGAGGTGTATGCACTCGTCCAGCTTTAGGTATTTACATAGAAACTAACCCTATTTCGCATTATGTACTCGATTTAAGTTTACCAGTAAATTCTCAGTTTATGCTTGTGATATCAAGGTGTATTTACATACTACTTAATCCGAGGAAAAAACGCCCTGTAACGCAAAAACTTGTTATAATAAGAACGATCAATGGATCGACCAGCGTGACACGGCGCCGGAAGTCGATCGCGATCCTCGCCGATCCTCGTCTCTTTTTCTTTCGACTTCCAAAGCTGCAGAATTTCTTCCATCTCCTCCTACTCCTTCTCCTCGTCATCGTTTACTTTAGTGCTCGCCATCGTGTCTTTTGTCTGTGAGAAAAATAGATTTTTGGACGCTAGAAAGTTGCATTTGGATTCTGTTTCTTCTTTTTTTTTTTTAGTTTCGGGTATGCTCCGAGAGTCTTCGAACAAAGATGGTGACTCAGGATCGGCACGGGATCGGTCGGTTTCCGGTCGCCGTCAGGCGGGTGCGACCGTTAAATGTAGCTTTGACGATGAATTCTTTAGCAAACTTTTCTTCTCTCGTTCCAGACGGTGAAAAAGCCTGGCTTTACCGGCGGCTTCTCGGCGCGTGTCTTTCGTATTTTTTCTTTTCGTTTTTCCATTGATTTTTTTTCACGATCTCTTTACGTTCAACGAAGATGACGACGTTAGGCTACTTTCGTAAGTGGCGAACAATGGGGGTCGAATGGGAGGATGGGATGTTCCCCGAAGAGGAACGGAGAATTCGGGACGCGGAGGTTTGTCTTCTTTCGCGATCTCCCGAGAAATTTTGCATGAATTTTGACTCGAATCCCGATCATATTATTCACATCATCCAGAGCATACGGAAAAATTGGCCACGGAACGAAAAGTCTCGACGAGGGTCACCGGGAGGGACAAAATTTCGGCGCGGTACAAAAGATTTGTTCCGCGCTCTTCGGTCCGCGATTGTCAGTCGAAGAAACGAAGGAGTCGAACGTTGTCGCGGGTGAATTATATGCCTTTTTGTTCCGTCCCAACGAATTTTCACGATCGCCTCCAGTTTTCGAATTCTTTTACTTCGGACCGCCTCTAACTGTCCGCCGATTTTTTTCGAAAATACAAGCACTTTCTCGGTCAAGATCGAGTTCCAAAAGGGAAAAACGCGTCTCTATCTTTCTCTCTTACTTTCTCTTTCTCTCTCTCTCTCTAGTTTTCGTGCAAAAATGCTTTCAGCTGATCACGTCGAAAGTAAACCCCATCGAAAAAGTTACGGACTGTCCAGGAATAGTAGAAAAAGGTCTGGAAACGGGGGATAGCACGCGGGGGCTCGAGATTAATGGGGTGTTATCACAAAGAGGTATCGTGCGCGTGTATATTTTTTGATGGGGGGTCGATCAGGGGACTGGTCCGAGTCTTCTCTCTAAACGTTCGCTTCGAAAAAACCTACTGGACTCTGCTCGACTAATTTTTTCAACCGGATTGTACTCGAAAGTTTCCTTCCTCTTTTCCTCTCCCTCGTCATCCTCATCTTCGTAGCTCTTTTTGTTATTTTTTCATTTTTGTTCGCGATTTTACCTTTCATCTCAATTAATGCTATTCCTCGCCACGATTTCTCATGTGTACCTTACGTTTTTTCATCTTTTCTCGTGTGCTTTCGTTTTCTTTTTTTTGCTCCGTTTTTAATAAAATTGATCCACCTTCTGTTCCGTTTCTCCTTCTTCTTCTTCGTTCATCTTTATTCTTCTTCTTCTTTCTAAGTATTGCGAGAACGTAACGGTATATTGCAAGTAAAAGTTCGAAACGACGCAATTATTTTTACGCGTTCAGATTATTATACCCGGAAATAAAAAAATATTTTGCTTATAACGATCACAGGACCTCAGATTACCTGAAGCACGCCACACTAAAATCTCTCTCGCATGCTCTCTCTCCCATGCGCTCGTTCCCATTCGTTCTCTCTCAAGCTGGCGTTCACGGCTCGCATTTTTTCGCGCATTCGCTCCATCCTTGATGCTCACGAAGCACATTCCCTTTCGCGCAGCTTCGCATTCGCATAATCGCGTGCCCGTGCACGTACGCGACCATCCCGAGGCCGTTCATTCACGAATATTTCCCCTGTTGCACTCGTGGTCTCTCACTTTCTCTCTGTCTCTCTCTCTATCTCTCTCTTCCTCTCGTTCTCTCTCTCTTTTCCGTCTCCACAGTCTTCCTCCCTTGTTTCTTCCTCTCTTTCGTTATCTTTCTCTGGTCGACGGTTGCTCGGGATCGTGTACAACTGCACAGGCACGCGTGCACAGTCGCTCGAATATCCTCTTTTTCGCCTAATTTATATCCTAGTCTCATAGACCCTATATTTATTATTTATAATATTTATATATATATAATATATATAATATTTAGCATTTAGTTTTTTATTTCTCTCTTACTCTCTGTGCATCCTCAGTTCTCTATCGTCGATTCTTCACCGCCACATGGTTCGCGAAACCGCTGTCACCTCCGGCATCTTGCGCGAGCTCCCGCGAGCGTTTCCACCGCTACGCGTTACGCTCGCGTGAGACGCCGGTCATCTCGTTTGTATATCGCTCGTTCTTCTCATCTCATGTACAATACATCCTCTCGCGGTCGAACCGTGGCCCTCGATTTTATCGAAAACTGTGCACGTGTACAACGGGGAGGGGGCACAAACAGCGGCCAGGCCGTGTGTGTCTCTAATTTCCCTCCCGACCTCGCCGCCGCCCTCCTAAAAATTTTTTCTTCGTTTTGTCTCTCTGCATCATACACTCCAGACTCTCTGTATGTATATATAATATATATAATATAACTGTTTGTAATAATTATATTTTGTTTGTCCGCTTACGAGCTAATAGTTTCCGTGCTGACGACCAGCACAAGTTGCGCGCATTTCTATTTAAATCCTTACGTCTCGAGTAAGTTTCGCCGTGTTGTGTGTGTGTGTACAAGATGTGTGTGTTCATTGTGTGTGCGCGCTCGGTGTGCGAGCACTCGTGTGTGATTGTGTGTTCCTCGTGTGCACTTCTTGTATGTATACATATACATTTATTTATATATATGCATATACATGTACATATGCAGGTACGTATGTACAGGTATATGCTTGTGTATGTATATATACGTGTCCGTTAGATACGTATGCACTCTCCTCCGCACGGGAGGCGGTCTTTCTCTCTTCGTGTGCTTCTCAGCTTGTGTACAATGTATCACTAATCCGGGGTGCCGGGCCTCGACACGGCCCGGCCGCGCCCGTTCGTTTTGTCAGACCGATATCGTCTTTCTTCTCGATTTGTAATCGCGTTTGTCCGTCCGATTGGAACGGGAAGGGGACTTATCTTCGCTTGTATACCGCGCGGCGACGTTCCTCCCGCTGGCCCGCGATCGGGCCCGCGAGAGCTTGGACCGCGTTTACGCACGTCTCAGACGCGTGTCTCCGGCGTCTGTTCGTCTGCCTTAAACGTTACGGGAGCTAAGATTAGGGGGGGTGGGGGAGGTGCCTTAAACTGGTTTCGTAGGTATGTATAATATGTATACGGGTTAGTTTGTTGAGCCTGGGACCGCGGGCCCGGGTTACCGCCGCGGCATCGAAGGTTCGCCGGGCACCGGGAACCGCGCGGCCCCTCGCTTTTCGGCCCTTGTACTAAAAAAACCATAGTACCTCGCGTCGGGCGCGGCGCAACGGGGCCCGGTCGGGACCGGGACGCCGTGACGCCGGCCGCGCGTCAGTTATAAGCAGTCGCGGTTCATTAATATTATGGCACGTCTCAGGGGTGGCGGGCTGCTCGCGGTGACAACGCGTCCTGAGAATTCGGAAAGAGCGACGTCGCGGCAAAAAAAACGCGTCACGCCCGACGGGGAACGTCGTCGACGGCGGGCCGTCGGAACGACGGCACGTGATCGACCGACCACGCTCACGGTCGAGCGATATTCAGGGTCGTTCTAGGAACTCTGGAGCCAGGACCGAAGTAGGAACAACGTGATCAGCGGTGCGTAGGCGACCGCTGCGCTAGAAGACCATCGTCACCGCGACGCTCCTCGCCACGCACCGTCTAACGGATTTCTAGATACGTATCAAGTCTGTTTGTGCATCGCCCGCTTGATCAGCGGGCGATCAGGTTCGGTCGGCCACGACGTGACCGAACGTGGCCGGGCTTCAAAGTGCCGGGAGACCTTGGAAAATGCTCTGAGGCATTCCGAGATCTCGCCGATCTTTCAAGAAAGATTCTAAGTTGTACTGCTGAGACATGAGTGATTGCGCGGGTGACCACAATTGGACGTCTCGAACGCCGTAAGAGGACGATAAACGATCGCATGATCGACAATTCGTTGATCGTCCGCGTACGTCGATTCTTTAGACGTTCTCAGAGTTACCGATCATATCGTCGGCTTTCCTCTTGACGCCGCGGTCTTCCGGAAGCTGCTGCTGCTGCTGCTGCTGCTGTTGCGATTGCTGCTGCTGTTGTTGCTGCTGCTGTTGTTGTTGCTGTTGCTGCTGCTGCTGCTGCTGCTGTTGATGGTGGTGAAGACCAATGCTCGACGAAGCCTGCTGCTGTTGATCGCCAAGGGACGCGGGTCGCTCGCTGGTTTGCAGCGACTGCTGGTTCAGGCGTTCAGCTTGCTGCTGCAGGCTCGTCTGCTCGGACGTCCAAAGGGTCCACTCGTCTCAGTAGTAACTGAATTTTCAGGGTTGCTGGTTGTTCTGCTGGTTGACCACGTGCTGTAAGGTGAAACTCAGCGCACGCGGGTCGCCGTGAAGCCTCAGCGCCTGCTCTAGCCGTTGCTCCTGCAGTCGTAGCGCTTCCCCTGCGGAGTTCAAGCATTTTCGTCAAGTTTTTGCGTCTTCTATGGTGCTAAACTATCCGGCACTGTGTCAACAAGCTTTCGCGTGCCTTTCGAGACCGTTTCGAACACTTTAGCTACTTGGATCCTCGGACTGTACAAAGTGTTCAAAGAACAAGATCTTTAAAGAACAGAACTTGATCTCCGAGGAACAAAACTTGATCTCTTCAAATAATAGAACTCGGTACTCGAAGAACAGAACTTGATCTCCAAGAAACAGAACCTGCTTTTCAAACAGCTATCGAACGACTGGCGGTAGCCAGAGTCTTACCGCTTGGTAATCTAACATGGCCAGCAATTCAACCTTGCCGAGACTCACCAAGGTCGGATGGCAGGTTATCTTGTTGGGACATCTGTTGGTTCGTGTGATGTCCCGGCATGCCGGAAGTGCTACCTCCGTTATGCTGTCCCAAGTGATGTCTGACGTCGCCCCCGACCGCAGAACTCGCCGCCGCTGCCGCCGCCTGCGTTACCTGTAGCAAAACGTTACACACCGTCTCCATTAGCTACATCGTTTCGGTGAAGCTTTACGAGGGTCTGGATGTTTGTCGGACGAGGCGCCGGTTTGGCGACAGAGTGGACAATAGACTTACAGCCAGTCTTAGCGCGGCTTCCGCCTGAGAACGCAACAAGGCTTCCGCCTGGTGCATCCTCAGCGTCTGTTCTGGTCCGGTTGCTTGCACTCCCTGTTGTTGCGGTCCCGTCGATCCTTGCGCGCCCCCGCTCATGTCACCGTTGTTGCCCATCCTCATCGCCGCCGCCAGCGACGCCATGTCCACCGGCGATAGATTCGGCGACACCGAATTTTGCAAACCTGAGGGAACACCGATCGGTTTCGGTTTCGATTAGTTGGAGGAGAGAGACACCTTTTCTTTTTTAGATGACGATGCTACTGCTTCTACACGGGACACTACTTCTTCCGCAGCAGGATACTGCTTCTACTTTTCTATAGGGGGAATTATTTTACTAGGTATACCTTAGGTATATTCGATGTTTAGCATAGGTATACTTAGGTATACTTAGGAATATTCTATGTATAGTCTAGGTATATTTAAGAATATTCTATGTATAGTCTAGGTATACTTAGGAATATTCTATGTATATATAGTCTAGGTATACTTAGATATATTCTAGGTATACTCTATACCTAAGTCTGGGTATACTCTATTCCTAAGTCTAGGTATACTCTATACCTAAGTCTAGGTATACTTAGGTATATTCTCCTAGTTATACTCTATACCTAAGTCTAGGTATACTTAGATATATATTCTAGGTATACTTAGATATATTCTAGGTATACTCTATACCTAAGTCTAGGTATACTTAGGTATATTCTAGGTATACTCTAAGTATACTCTAGGTATACTCTAGGAACACATTAGAACACTGTTCCCGCGACGAAGCTACCTTTTTCTCAACAGAGCAATCGTACTTTTTCAAACAGGAAAAAGCTGTTCTTCCCGACGAGTAAGCTACTTTTCTCCACGAAAGAGCCACAGTACCCTCATCAGTCCCTCAGCTCTTGAAAATTCACCCATTTCCACCCTCGGACACTTAGAAAGCATCGAATCTCTTTCTGTTAGCATTTCAAGACGTATCCCATCGAGATACGACTCGGTAAACGCAACATAAATCGTCGATGAAAAGCGTCGAGCAAAAATCGGCGAACCTTCAGAACCTCCCTGGCTAACTAACCATCCCTGGAGAATGCTTCGGGTTGATCAAACGATCGAACACCCTCCACAAACGTCTCCAAGCTATGCTCATTCAGATTCACGGCGTGTTATTCTCGTGATCGGTTAATCGCGGAGACGCCGTCGTTATCATCGTCGCCGAACTAGCGACATGTCCGCGATCTACGCGGGCCGGCCGCTCCGATAAGAAAAATCCTTGCCGCGGAAGAACAACACAATTGTAAATCAAGCGGTTTATCGGCGGAATAATTGGAACGAGTCCGTCCGCGGTTGTCTATCTGTTGTCCCCGGGAACGGACTCGCGTCGCGCGACTCGATAAGCAGCTATCGACGTCCTTGAACGGCGTACGCCGAGAGCTAAATCCCGCGCGAACGGATCCCGGGGGTCAGATCGATCCGATCGAGAGAGCCGCGCGTTCCTCGATCCTCGACGATTCTTACCCGCTGACGCGACCGCGGCCGCCATCACCGCCATGCGTTGCTGCTGCGACTGCATCTCGTCGTGGTACTGTTGCGCCGTCCCTGGTTGGTTGCCGGCCCTCAGCATCTCGCTGAGCTTGTTGCCGCTCGGTCCCGGCGACGCCATATTGTTGTTGTTATTATTGTTGTTATTGTTCAGCAGACCGGCACCTGCGCAAAAGTCTGCTCCCGTTAATATGCGCGCTCGCGGATGGGTGCCGTGGGCGAGGGTTATATATGGTCGCGTGTCTTTTTTCTTTTTCTTTTTCTCTTTTATAGTTTGGCGCTAACGCTACGTCGCTAATGATTAAAAAACAGCATATTTCTCACGGTGGTTTGTCGTCGTCTCTAGGCGGCGTTAATATACGGCAGTAGAGTATACGAAGTAGAAGAGACGAGAAGAGTAGTCGTAGAAAGTAGTAGAAGAAGAAAGAAGAGAGACGTTCTTATAAAAACAGAGACGCTCGTCATGATATGCGGGAATTACTCACACAAGAATTCGTAGATGCTTTATTTTTTTTAACTCTCCAGAAATAATATCGATGTGCATATTTTAACACGTTTGCTACAATCGCTGTCGCTGCGGCCTAAGCTCGGCGTGTTTGTTGCGGGTCACACATACTTTTGGTACACAATTACAAAAACGAGAGACGTGTGCAGGTTTGTCTCTACGCGTGGATCAGGTTTTTGGTGGATGATGGCGTTTGTTTTCGAACGTGTGTCTCTGCGCGGACAGGCATTTGCCGCGTGTTTCCGTGTCTGTGCGTCAGTTTCACGTGGGAAAGAAAAGCTTCCCCGCTTTTCTCGAACGGGGTCTGCCTTTTGGCTTGTATACTCTGTCTATGTGTGTGTGTGTGTGTGAGTGAGTGAGTGAGTGCGTGCGTGCGTGCGTGTGTTTCTGTACGTGTGCGACGTGTAAGGATGAATAGTCGTTACTCTAAGACTGTTTCACGGGCACTCTAACGATCATTCCATTGACGACCGTTTGCAAGAAGACGGAGGAACAAGATCGGAGCGTACCAGGTTCACTACCGGCCGACGATAGTCTTCCGTTTCCGCTGCTGCTGTCCGAGTGAGCCGACGGCGACGGACACATCGGTGGTTGTTGCAAATTTTGTGGTCCGCCTGTTTGGCTTCCCAACACACCCAATCCCGCACCTGCCGGACACCAGAACCACGTTAGGACCGTTCGTTCGCGCGCGTCTCAGCTCGCGTTCGTATAAACGATCATAATTACACACACATTAATATACGTATCGGAGCGTATCCACGAGACGCGGCGATCGTAAACGAGGCGGTCAATGCTCGTCGCGATCGCTCGCGTTCTCTCGTCTACACGCCCAGGTTATCGCACACACATATACGTAGGCGGTGTTGCATATATATATATATATATAGATATAGATATAGGTATAATATATAATAGTATAACGATTATTGTCTGTGGAGACGACTTTGTTGTGTGTTTCGTTACCTAAACTCGAAGACGCGAGGATCTCTCTTTCCCGCCTCTCGGCGGCCGCGCGGCTTAAAACGTACTGCGCGGCGAACTGGTGTTTCGGGTCCATTCTCATGTGCTCCATGTGACTCAACAAACCTTAACAGCAAAGCAGAGGCGATCTCGATAGAGTTCGTTATTGGTCAGTATACACAGATATATGTATATATACACGCAGAACGGATAGACAGACACGATATATACGATTAAAACTTTGGACCTCCGAGACGTGTTCGAAATGAAAGGAAAAACGATATCGTATCGGAAGGTGAAAAACAAGTGCAAAATGACGAAAAGAAGAAGACGGAGGAGAAGAGGAAAAAGAAGAAGAAGAAGAAGAAGTAGTAGAAAAATAAGAAGAAAAGGAGGAGGATGAATTAGTAAGTAGTAATAGTATTAATAGTGGATGAAGAAGAAGAAGAATACGATGAAATGAAATCGGTGGTAAGAGCATTAACGAGGTAGAATAATATATTCATTATATGTACGTATCTGAGCGTCGTTATGGTTGCAGCAAAGAAGGAGGATATACTTACCGCTCTCATGAGTGAAGACGGCTTGGCACACCGAGCACGGCCACATCCTGAGGCTTGAGCTAAGCTGACTGGTCTCAGGATGACAGGCCAGGTGCTTCCTAAGACTACCCTCGTTGACGTAGTGTTTTCCGCACACTGGACACGGGTGGTTGGCGGTCCGTCGCTTCGCTAGGTAAACCCCGGCAACGGAGGTTGTGCAGTCAGCGGAGGGAACAATAGGGCGACACAATTTCAAGGTCAATGCTAAGCAGGATAAAGCTTCCCAAGGAGAACGAAAGCCACCGCCTCCATATATATGTATATATGTATATATATATAGATATATCGTAGATATCGCATTATCAGCATAATATATCGTCTCTCTCTCTCTCGCTCTCTCTCTCGCTCTCTCAAAAAATCTCATCTCGTCTCGTTTGTTATCAATGTTATCTCAATATCTTCTCTTAATTCTCTCTAGTTATGTATATATATATATTTTTTGTACTTTTTATCTATATTTATTTATTTATGTATTTATTTATTTTTTTTCTAAAGAATCTCTTCGTCTTCATTCCACCTCCTCCTCCCTCTCGTCCTCCTCCACCTTATTTCTCACGCATTCGCGGGTACACACGCGCGTGTACGTACGTCGACATTCCGGTCGACCTCGAAGGCGAAGGGAGAATCCTTGCAGACACGGATAGCCGAGGACCAGAGGAGAGCACTGACCTCGGACGCACCGCGAGCTGCTTCTGCCGTTTGCTGGCTCCCTTTCACGAGCGAGGTCGTCGGCCCAAAAACCAAGATGCACACGCACGTACGCGCGCGCGCGCGCACGCACGCACGCTCATAGACGCACAAAGAAAACGTTCTCGACGACGAGTACAGATCTCTAATCGCTTTAGTTCTTTGTTATTTTATTTTATTTTATTTTTTTTTTCGTTAGCGCTTATGCTTTTCTATCTCTCGTCGTTCGGATCCCCTTTTGTCTGATCAGCGGCGACGCGTTTTTCTCCAGCATCAGTTTTTCTCGTTTCGTCTTCTAGACACGTTCTCCCGTACATTTTTTCCCCTGCCTCTTTCTCTCTCTTTCTCTTTCTCTGTCTCTTTATACCGCTCTTTACTCTAGCCGTTCCCTCGCTATTCCATTCGGTACTCTCCTCTTCCAGGTTCTCTCTTCTCGGGAAGAAGAAGTCTCCGTCGTGCACTCTCTCGTTGCGAAAGGACACGCGTGGTTCGATTCGCTTCCTCTCTTCGGAGTTCGAGACACTCGATTCTTTTTCTCTGGCCCTCTCTCTCTCTCTCTCTCTCTCTCTTTCTTTCTCTTTCTCGGAGATTCTCAGGCGAAGAGCCGAAACGGCCGAGACCCGAGTCGCAGACTCTGGCTGGAAGACGATGGAGGAAACGAGACGACGCGAGCTCAAAAAAAGACGGGACACCCGCGCGACAGATAGAGTTAGTTCGCTGCGTCTTGTCGATTGTTCTTCTCTGTACGTCTATCTAATACGGATTCTCTAGATCGATACGCGCACGCGTTCTACGCGTCCGCGTACCAGGCCCACACACTTGACAGAACACGCACAAAACGAGAACGAGAACACCACCCTTACTCAAGCACCGGTTTTGTTTAAACATATAACGTAGATGTGTACACCGTGCCGCGTATACATGTACGATATACATTGCGTGCCCGGGCTGCCGTGCGGCCGACGCGCCCGCGACCCGCGCCGGCGATTCCGCGCGAGAAGATCGTCGAGAGCGGAGAACGAAATTCGCTCGCGACCGGGCTCCGCGGCCCCCGGACCGTTGACTTTGGAAATCCCCGGTCAATGTTTGCGGACCGCGCGGATTGCGGTCATCAATATTTGCGCTAAAACCGTGAAAACTCTTCGCATTACTTTTATCGAGCGCCGAACGTTTGCTCGCCGCGATCATCATGTACACCCGCGCCGATCGTATTTTCAAAGTCAACCTTGTCCCGAGAACAGAGTCCCTTTTCGGGCCGTGTTCACAGTCGCGTCTTATTTATAAGATCTCATTTAATCCGATTGTTCCCGAGGAAAATCTCGAGAACCGACCATCGATCTCGGTGGCGTCCGATCACCATGCTTAACCCTTCCTACGTCGAATGCAGGGTCCTTTCGACCCGCGAGCGATGAGACACCAGTTTCCAACGCGAACTTCATTGTGAGCCGAAACGATCCTGCATTCGTCTCCCGCGCGACGATCGAGAACCGTTCGCCTTCCGAGGGTTAAGACGGTCTTATAAATAAGACACGGCCGCGAGACGCCGCCCTTCGAGTCCCTTTTTCTCTCATTCTCCGATTCCGCGAAGCTTCTGCGCGAGAGACCGGCGATCGGGCGATCTCGCATCGGTCGCAGGACACCCCGTGCACCGTCTACACGTTACAGTAATATTAGCCAGTAGTGTACGCAAAGTATTAGTCGGTGAGTGCGCTCTAACTGTGCTACACCCCCTTTTTCCGTTTTCAGCGCCACAACAGAGTACGAAGAAGTGACAGGACAATGTGTGCATATCGCCCGCGCCAAAGCAAGTTTCTCAGGTG